TATATTAATGGCAGAGCTTTTTGGGTCTGTAAAAGGGAAACTAATGCGGAACGTGTCTTAAACCTGTATTTTTTTCTAATGGCCGCAGTTGGCAGCTCCCATTGGTAACAAAAGAAAGTCTAGTATGCGAGTCTTATGGAGAAATTTACACAGCCTACTTCTGACATAATTTATTATCTTACTAAACAGTTTCCTAATAAGCTTCACTGGTCCACAATGTCTGTTTCAAGTCTCCCTTCACAATATGGCCATGTTTTTATTTAGTAACATTAAATGGTCCCATTTAAGAGTAAAATAGATAATAAGCACAATAAATAAAGCTCAATGCAAAAACTAAGATCAAACTGTCCACCTGCTGATCAATATGGAATCAAGATTGTAATTGCAATGCCATTTGTATCATTTCTTGTTTAGAATTTAAAGTGTTTTTTGCATACTAACAGCAAAAACGTATACTCAAAACATTCATATTTAGTATATTCCTGAATATACAATTAATATGTAGTTTGGAATTGGGACAACTGCTTGTTTCTCCCAAAAGGCAAAACCTTGTGCTGCTTCCTTTGAGTCTTTTTGACTTGATTCGTTGTCACTTTGCCGAAGGCACACTTGTGGCAGATAGCAGTGCAGTGGTCGAAACCTGGACAAGCTGTTAACATGCCACACGGACCCAGCTGGCGATTTTCAAGATTTCCACATAAGGACCTGGTCTTGTCCTGAGGTTTTGTATGGAGGTTTTGTATGATTCATGCTCAAAAAATGCCTATATGCATAAATGTGTGTATATATGTATATATTATATATATATACTCATAACTATATATATATATATATATAATATATATATACTATATATATATATATATGTTGTTTGTCTTTTTTTTATCTTTACTTTCTTTTATACTCAAAATAGTAACAAACTACTGTGCATTACCAGTTTGTCATGGTTTTCAACAGTGGTTAGAACTGTTGCTCGCAGCAAGAAGGTTGTGAGCTTGAATTCACCTTTACCCCTGCTCCTTATGGTGTGGAGTTTGCACATTTACCCCCTACTTGCTTTGGTTTCCGCCAACAATCAAAAACACATACAGGTTAGGAGTCTCAAAATAACCCTTAGGTGTGAACAGGAGTATTTGTCTCTGTGTTTGCCCTTGTATTTACGTTTGTATGCTTACCGTGCAATGCCGAACACCATGCTTCCTGCCTTTTACTAGAGCTCCTCATGACCCTGAAAATGTGTGTGTGGTGCAGAACTAACCAAAGAAATATGACTATTAGTCTGTTTGTCAGCTGATAATATAAACATTACTGTCCTACTGTGACATTTTAACATAAGGCTTCTGAAATCTAAGTATGAGTGAGTTTGCTCATCATTGGCCAAGTGATCATTCTGATGTACATAAAGCCGATGGTAGCAGCTTTTCTGTGAGTTGGCAAGAAAACACAAAAGCGGTTATAGTGTCCCCAGCTGTAGGATGAAGGATGGTTGTGTCACCAAGCTCCAAAGACACACTTTTAAATTTTGCTGCAGTGACAAACTCGGCATCTGTTTGATGTTCCTCGTAACACTTCTCTCTCTCTCTGGTTTCCTCCAAGACGAAGGATTTAATGTTTAAACCTCCTGTCAGCCCTCACAGTGGCAGGGTAAAACACTGCTGCTATTTCTTAATTTCCCATTTTTATGCAGCTCATAGTGACATAAACAGTAAGATGCCTGTCCTAAAGTCAAAACCCACTAAATCTTACATTAAATACAGTCTTCTGCTTCTGGTGATTTCTATCGCCTGGCGCCAGTGGTGGTTCAGTGTAATCCTTGTCTGAGCTCTTTTTTAGGCTTGGTCTCAACTCTTTATTTACCTGAGAACTCAGAGAAACAGTTTTTAAAAGTATTTTAATTTATTTTTTATACTTGGGCCTCAAGCTTGCAGCGTAGGGTTCCTGAGGACAGAGTCAGACTAGCTGTTTTCTCTTTATACAAGTCTTTGTGCTAACCTGAGCTAACCAGCTGTTGGCTCCAGCTTCATGTTTAATGAATGGACGTGACAGTGGTATCAAACTTGTCATCTAACTCTCACTAAGAAAGAAAGCAATTTCTCCCCCCCCAAACAATCCACTACTTACTATTTAAATGACAGCAAAGCTAATCCATGTGGAAGTCCATTAAGGAATCACTTGCATCAATGTGTCACACGCACACTGATGCAAGAGCAGGATAACTCAGGAAATTATTTGACATGGGTTGGCTGTGTCAATGGGTCTGTATGTGTTATTGCAGGACCAGTACAGAGCAGTTCCATCCTCTGAAGCACACAATAGCGTGATGTCATTTGTGTTATCTTTGTCAGGGAGACATGAGGGGAAGATTGCCGAATTACATTTGTCCACACTGTTATTATTCCAACTGATGGTTGGAGCTGTGAAGCTTTGACAGGACTTTCTCAGAACGTCATGGCACCAACCCAGACCCCCTAAACATGATGGATGGGAATCTTGGAGAGTGTGGATTATATGAGGTCAGTAAAAAAAAAAAGAAGAAAGAAGCTGGGCTGCCGTTGTCTGTGAGGGCACTTGGCTGCAGCCATCGAATCGTCTGCTGCTTTGTAATACAGCCGCAAGCCAGTGAGCAGGGAATCCTGCCAAGATGAAGTCAGTGTTTGTATCTGGAACGGCCTCTACGGACTGCTGTCCTTTGGCGGTCAGTGAGCTCACTCTGTGTTTCAATCAAAATTAGGCAATTTGGATGGAAGGCACTCATGCATCAACCAGCAGTTTGTTTTGTCCTCTCAGTTGGAAAAGTAAAAAAAAAAGTGAGTCAGACATGCACCTAATGCGTATGTTGAGGACTTGACCTGTCATAACAGAAGTTTTCAAAGAGCTTCACTTCACACTGTGATCACTGAGACTGTTTATCTTGAGAACTATCAAAATTACATTTCATCCTTGTTCATTATTAGAGGCTTTTTTAGCTGGAGGGGAAAGCAGAGTGCTGCAGTATTAAGAAAGAAATAAGATGTTTTTGAAAGCCTTTGCGGCTTGCTTCAGGGCTTTTCACACCTATGCGTTAACAACATTAATTTTGAGAAGATTGAGGTCCACTCGTGTTTTCATGAGCAACAAAAATATTCAAAGACTATGAACTTTCTGAGAAGAATGGTTTATTTTAAATGGTTGAGCGAACAATAGATCTCAGACTTAGTTTATTTTATGTCTTTTTAATTGTTTACCCATATCCAGTACAGTCATCTAAATTGAAAGTTAAATTATCTGTTTAGTATGTGTGTTGTAGAGAGGAGAGTTGCAGGAAATAGCAGGTTGAGAGGTAAAGGGCTGGCGAGCGGGAGGGGGGCTGAAAGAATGGAGCTTTGTCAGAAAACTCAGCATCCGTTTCACAGTCCTGAGGCTGTAAGTTGTCATTTAAAAAAAGAATTCTGCAACAGCCCGGATGATTTCCTTCCTCACTGCAGAGTCTTTCATTGCAGCAGTGTCGCTCTGTGCAGTCCAGAGTAGGTTCAGCCGGAAAAATCGACTGTTGTGGGATGCAGGTATCTTCACAATCGAGCAGCATAAAAATAATTAAAGCTTTTATACAATGAGGGTATGATGCCTTTTCTTTCCACTCTCGTGCTCCCCTCACGGTGGGGCTTCAGCTGCAGCGTTGCAGTTCACTGAATGTTTTATATGATTTAATTGGAAATCCAATGGTTTAGTCTCTGTGTGTGTGTCTGTGCTTATTCCTCTTTTTTCCAAACTGCAAGTAAACAAGTGGACATACATTTCCACAAACCACACAGCGATAAACAGAAATCACTACTTGTGTTTCTGTTTTTAAAAAGGCCAATTCCGGCCCTGTTGTACTTCCCTACTCTTCAGTACATGTTTTAGTTTGTAGGAATGATTTGTTATTACTCACTTTAATTGGTTGGATTAAAATCAATTCCCCCCATGAACAGCAAGGTTTCATAAATCACGCAGCAACGTAGTTTTGTGGTAAAGCTGATGTATCGCATCTATTCAGCTAGTCAGCAATCGATCATGAAAATGCTCATGAATCTTCTTGACAGGTTAAATGGTATTTACTCTGCAAAAAGTGAAGTACCGACTAACTGGCTCGTTGCAACTCTGTGTGATACCCTTGACCTTTCTGTGTTTGCTGCGGCTGTAGCCTCTTAAATTATCAATGAGGGAAACATTGAACCGCAGTTAGGTGGACAGAATGCAAAAGAAGTCTTGCATGTGTTTGACTGGACTCAAGTCATCAGTGTTTGATCTAAAAGTTCCCATAATGGTGGTGCTGAAAACACAGAAAGAATCAAGGATGTTACAGAAAAGTGATTAGCAGACAACCGCTTGTGATTATTACTCATTTTTCTGATTTATTGGCTTCTAAATGGAAGTATAAAATAGGCTTAGTGCTCTAAATGGAAGTCACCTTGAACAAGAACATCAGCAATGGCAATAATGATAAGCAGTTTCGCTATAAGCTTATTAATGTGGTCAGGCCGGTCTTCCTAATCCCTCTGTCTTTTACATTTGATAACAGGCTGGGAACGACTGCTGTCACCTTTTCCACTTTAAATCCCAGACATCTCTTTTTTCTGTCTGCTCAATAATCATTGCATTGTGTGTGCCGGTGGATTGCCTCCTCTTTAGTTACGTGTTTTTTTTTTTTGTTTGCACACTGTGCGAGCAGTAGAGCTTGACAAAGATGGAGCGTGCACACTCTAATATGCTTGCAGTGTTTTAATATCACAGGACAATATTTCCAGCCTTCCCATGGGCCTCTTTCATTTTGTTTTATGACAGTAGGACACTGAGCAAAGTGTGCAAGTTTTATACATGTAGACTTTTATTAGCTCTGTGCCTAAACAGTAGATGACAGCAGGACAAAAGGTTAATAGTGACAGCTACTGTGTGCTTGTGTTGTATGCTGTAGTGGAGCACACAAAACATATCAGCTAAATCTTTTGTTTTAAAGTGCTACAGTTTGAGTGCTTGTACAGCTGTGTGTGCCTTTGCGCGCATTTCCGTTTAATATGTTTCACATATTGACAGACATCCACGATATTCTGTACTAATGATTGTCCCTGGCTTTTCTCTTTTACAGCTCCCATCAACCCTCACCTGAGTAAGTAATGTGCACCTCACTTAGCATGTCTCGTCAGAGAGCAAGCTCCTTCTGTCGTAACACAGTCTGTGAGAACAGTGGGGAGACTCAAAGTAACTGTACATCCCGTAGAGATCTGGCTCTCAACATGTCACAGTGCACTGGAAGAGTTCTCTAAGTGTTCTTAAGTAGTAATCAATGAGGTGTGATAAATAAGACTTTCCTTTAGGAATTCTGAGTAAACCTGCATCTGGATATTTGACATGTTGAGAGCTTTAAATTTCTGAGGACTTGAGGGATGGAGTGTGGTTGCATGAGAAATGTGTTTTTTGTGTGCATTTGCACGCTCTGTGCTTTGTGAGTATTACTTATGCATGTATTTGTGCAGTATGTGTTTATATTCTTTAATGTTTAGTCCCATTTATGACGCATTTCATTGTTGAAACTTTACAAATTCACATTATTCACGCCTTGAGAATCCACACTTAATAATTGTTTGCTGTGCTGCAGTGTGCTGTTGTGTATTGAGGTTTATTTATTTATATAGATATATATTTTGGTGGGTGTTCACACAAACATTGCCAACATAATAACAAACATCCTAATCACCAACATCATTATCCAAATCCCTGAAGGAAACTGTCTTACCTGCACGCCTCCTCTTCCTCCCTCCTTCCTCTGCCTCTCCTCCAAATCCTCCTATCTCTCGCGGGCACAGAAGGCGAAAACATTTAGTTTAGCTCACAGTGGATGGGGGCGTTAGTGTCTAGCGCCGGGAGCTAGACCTCCATTTAAATCTGCATGCCTATGAGGAGAACAGTCAAGAGTGCCTGCAACCTGGCCCTTTCCTCCGCTCTCCCGCTCCACCACTTCTTTCTCTCCTGCTCTCACTTTCTATCTCTTCCTCTCCCTCGCAGCATTGCTGCCCTCTTCCTTCCCTCAGTCCATCCACCCACACTCCACCTCAGTCTATGTTACCTCCATTACCTGAGTAAAAGCTGTGGATTCGGCTCCTCTCAAGGTCACCACTCCAAACTGCTCCCAGCTACGTTTTAATAAATCAATGAATATTTATCAGAACACATGCCTGCATCCCTGAATCTAAATGCTTCTTTTTACTATCTCTTTGAGGACACTTTCAGCCGCACTATGTCCTCTGGTTAGGTGTTTTGCTTTGTTTGTTACATGGATTAAATGGAGGTTTTGACACTGCTGATCCAGCCACTACCCCTTCATTAAACAGAGTGGGTTCATTCCCCACACATATGATTTCCGACTATTCATTAGTATATTCAGTGTTAGACATTCCCTTACATGTGACCCATCAAAACCCCACGCTTGACTTACAATTACTTGTATGTTTTTCTTGAAGCGTGACGTAACCTATAGTTTCATTCCCTCCCTACACACTCCACTAGTTTAAAAATTGCAGCCAAAGGGGCGTGGAGAGGAACGGAGGAGAAGGGGCGGTGGGGGGTAATGTCTCTACCTGCACACCCACTCCAGAGAAGATGGAGAGCGATAGAGAAGGAGGGAGGCGGTGTCCATTTGAAAAACTGATTACAAAGAGTTCAACTACAAAACATCCAAGGACAATCAACTCATTTTTACTTTCAATCATGAAAAAAATCATTAGCAGTTCAACAGATTTTTATGCACGTAAAACTACTTCCACAGTGTCAAACAGCACTTAGAAAACCATTAATGCCTTTAAAGAAAAATCACAATTTAGTGTTTCCATCCTCTTTCACAGGAGATTTATATTTTAATATCATTTGCTAAGGTAGTGTGTGTGGGTGTGTGTTTATTAAATGCAATCAACCATGCCACAGTACTGGGCTTTCATGGTATAGCTTCTAATAACCAGTCCCGACACACACAGACACACACTCTCAGATACACACAGACACACTGCCATTGGGTGTTTTTGGGGTGCAGTACTCTCTCTGCAGAGACTTCCTTACGGAACTGAACTAAACTGTGTGTCGTTGTCAGGGAAAAACCAAACACACTCAGTGACGTCTCCACAACAGTCAGTGAGAGGTCACATCTTAATTTAGAAATTCTCTTCACCGGATCGTACGTTGTAATTAGGACTTTGCTGTTGTATATCCTCCTGAGACACACACATATACACACTCCAGGAAATCTCATAAATATACAGTAGGTGTCACACCGCACACATACTCTCTTCTCTCTTCCAGGCGGTGTATAACTTCTCACTCTTTTATAATGAAGTGAATGTAAAAGCCTGGTTCTGCTCTGTCGCTCACCAGGAGAGTTCCACTGCAGCTTTGAGGAGGAGCCTATCTGCATGTTCACCCAGGATAAGAATGATGATTTTGATTGGACACGGCACAGTGCTGCTACCCGCGATACAAAGTATACACCCAACACCGGGCCCAGTGGTGACCGCAGTGGATCCAAGCAGGGTAAGTAGTTTGAGAAATCTTACCTTGACTGGTCCCTTTGTGCTACTCACAAAACAAAAAATATAGAGATTGATGAATAAATCATAAAAATAAACTGTTTTTATGTTTTTTTTAGGGTGGAGTGCTGAGGGTGAATTAATAATAATAATAATACATATATTTTAAAAAGCGCTTTTCAAATACTCAAAGACACTACATACAAGAACATCAATACAGCAAAACAATTAAATTTCAAAACAGTACATTACATACGTTATATAAAACACATTAGACTCAGACACTATTAACTATATATTTGAACTGAAAACCATTTTAAAGAAGGGTGTGATGTGTGTGTGATACACAAATATGTGTGTGAAATGATGAATAGGACAGAGGTCAGACTTCTTGGACAATGTTGGTATACAGTCCCGGACAACTCGAATGTGTATTGGAAGGAGGGAGAGATGTTCCAGAAGAGGGAGGGGGACACGCATACAAGAGAACGCTCTGTTCGCCCCTTCACATGTATCGGTGCGTTTCGGTCGCTGCCGGGGTGGTGGTAGTCAGCAACAAAGAGTTCTTTTCCGTCAGGATGAGCGGATGGCTGCGGGGATGGATTGGTGGCGATTGGAGCAGGTCCCAGAGCTTCGATGAGGTATAGGAAGGAGCCTGGTTATCAGAGGGCTTTTTATAAAGTCGTAAGAGAGCAGGATTATGTGAACTGAATTCGCTGTGGAAACTGGGAGCCCAGTGCGAGGTTTATTCAGAGACAGGGAGGAAGGTAAGATGTTTGTACTCCACGTTTGTGGGGGTGTGGGGAGTATTATTAAGGAGAAGGGAGAATTAAGGGGTAACAACCTGAGAAAAGAAGCTGGTCTATCTGATGGTACAGATGCTGCAGATGCTGCAGATACTTATGTATGACTTGCCAGACTTGATGAATAGGCTGTGGTCAATCATAGCTTAACTGTAGTAAAAGACAAACTTTTTTTGTAGACTTTCAAAAAACAAGAACACAGAATGAGAGCAAAAATCTAAGTAATTGATTAAACAGTGTATTGCTCGGCTATAAAACTTTCATTTTATATTATATTTCTACCTACAGCAGTAACCTAGCATCACCTCCAAGGCCCAGCAGCTTATTTGAAGTTGTAATATTTTATAGGGTTACAGGTTACGTTCAGGATTGGTTCATCCACTGTGTAGTATTTTCACACTGTGTGGAAGGCACTCCTGGATGCTGCTGTATCAAGAGTCTAGGGTAACGTTCGAGGAAGTTTACACTTCAGCAAACTCAGCCACACTTGTTACCCGAGATAGCATTAATTTTGTTAAAGTTATTTCGGTTTGTCAAACTAACTCACAGTTAGTCCTTATCGTCAAAGCCTTTTCCCTTGTAAATTTTTTAAAAATACAAAAAATGGAGCATAAATTGAACCTCTTTATTGTTTTCATAAAGTTCAAAGTGTTTTTTCTATTGTAAGCATCCAGTCAGTCTTATGTTAGAGAGAAATAATCTAATCTTACATTTTTCTTTGTTATACTGTATTATAATGTAGTAGTAGTAGTTGTAGTAAAACATAAAAATAATCTGCTCTGAATAATATTTCCTGCCTGAGATGAGTTTTCCACATTGTTTTCCCTCATTCAAAAATAAAGGAATCTAGGAATAGACTGTACGCATACTGTATGTATGTGCACTGCATGTTTCAAGTTTCTACAATACACTTGTTAAGTACTGTGTTAACTGTGTCTCTGTGTTAACTGCAGAGATTTAAGGTGAGCACAGAGAAACGTTTCCCCTTCAGTATGTCCATTCATTTAAATCTTCTTACAAAAGTAAGATGATTGCTCTGTTACAGCTGTCACAATGAACGTGTCAGATCCACCAACAGCATTAGAGAGAGTGACCGCGAGTGTGTGTCTATGTGTTAGACCTGTTTACAGTGTTTCTCTGTGCTTTTGAATGACACATGTTGAAATGGCTTCAGCTCTCATGATACTGAGCAAGAACATGTATGTATAGAGAGTAGATATATAGACAGATACATGTAATGTAACAGTACAACCTCAACATTCACTAAGCGGTGGGCAAGTTATTCAGTTGAATTTCTCAGCTGGGGATTTATCTATATAGCTGAGCAATCATATTGCAAAACTATGCACCAATAGGAAAAAAAAAACACAGTTGGTGTAAGTGCAAGTGATTATTTTTGCCAGCTGTCAGTGTGGCTCTGAAAACACTGCACCTGCTCATTGGATTTGAAAAAGTCAGTTGAATGCACACATTTAAATGGACACCACTCTGTTATTTCATATGTAATCCGTGCATGAATACGTGAATCCCCCCCAGTGCACAGGCAAACAGTGTGATCATCATGTTATAAAACACTGCAAAACATGAATGTGTTGTACCTTTTTTCCAATACTGCAACACTGAAAGTTCCCTTTTTTTGACATGTTGAAATAAGTTGGAAAGTGTTCCCAACAGCATAATAGATGATTTCAGCTGTACTCATTGTGTCACCAATAGCTTGATGCAGCACAATCTAACGATGAGCAGCCTTCATCATTTATTTTCAGGATAATCTTGTAACTGACTCTCTGTTGCTGTTTCCAAGGGTACCTAAGCCAGACACATTTGCATAATGTTTAGTATTCAGTATGTTAGTTTCATGTGCAGGTATTCCATATTGAAGAACTTAATAAATAAAGAATTACCTAAATTAGATTTGTAGGATCCATCAGAGGAAGGTATCTGTGGTGGAATAAAAGTGCCCATTATGGTACTGTGGCACCAGCAGCAGCTGAAGCAGTAAATAATGCATTGGCTTTAATCACCTAATGGTTTCAAAACGTCCAGCATTTCATTACTAGCCCCATTCCTTTTTACGTATAATTATCTGATATGAGATTCAACTGAGGGAGATATTCCATTTGATTTTGGCTGCAGGGGCGTGGAGCTGCTCACCAGCTACTGTACCTTCCCTGTGCCTGTGGCAGGGCAGAGATTGGCTTTAGATTATGCAGCTCAGACACAATCAGAGGGCTGTTTGACTCACTGCCATCACCGCTGCTGTCCATGACTGAGGGAGCATGAATGTAACCCCATTGTTATCGTATCCATTTGCCCCTGGTCATAGCTATTAGTAAAAGGAGAACTGTCCTTCGTAGAAAGGCCTGCTTCTTATCTCTGATATGGACGGTTTTATTTCCACCGTGCTATCATAGACTGGCTGAAAAAGCAACTCAGCATGACCAATGAAGCCAAGCTTTTTCCCAGTGTTTACAGTGACAAAAGATTTGTTGGTGTTTCAGTAGGCAGTCAGAAAGTAGTCGTGGGATTGTGGACACTGCCCGACTAAAGCACTCATATTTATCAAAGGGTACATTCACTGTTTGTGCAGTTTCCCAGGGAGGCACAATGACTTTGTCTTGTGTCCTGAGGATATCCACAGGGCATATTCAGATAAGATACTGGACTGCACTACATACATACAAGTATAACAGTAGACAGTGTTGGGTCATTTGCATGAAAAATGATTCTTGTTTATTGCAACTTGGGTCTCATCAGCATTTGTCCCATAAGTAATAACATTGTACTCGCCAGGTTAATGTAGAAATCTGGGAATGTGGTAGTGGGGCAAGAAACATGAGCAGTCAGACAGTTTTAAACAAACCACCATGTTAGCCAGACTGACTTGGAAGAGAAAAAAGTATCTTAACCTACCTTTAAACTATATCCACACTAACATGCAGTGATGGATTATTTCCAATTTAGGATCACCTCCAAATGTTAAAGATAATCTGTCTAAAGTGTTAGCTCGTTTGCAACATGTATAATCATCTGACAGCTTGTTTTCCTTGACTTGGTGAGTACAGTGTAAAACTGTTATAAAAAAGTTGCAACTTCAAGAATCTGAATTGTTTGTTATTTTTTAGATTTTGTATATTAGGATGATTTTGCCTGCTAGTAGTAGCCTCCTGTATGTACTGTATGTACATATGTTTTATGTGTGTTTTTCTGTGTCCCTGTGTTTTAAGGTTTCTACATGTACATTGAGACATCAAGACCACGAAAGGAAGGGGACCAAGCACGGCTTGTAAGTCCGTTTTTCAACGTAGCGCCTAAAAACCCTTACGGTATCACCAACCCACCTGCCTACTGCTTCGGCTTCTTCTACCACATGTATGGAAAACACATAGGTAAGATACATTCCTCATATGCTTCATTGTCCTTAGTATGTATAACAAACATGTGTTGCTCTTGGATTTAATCTGACATGTATCCACTTATCCAAGATCATCTTTATTTATATTCATTGCTCAATATTTCATAGAAATAAAATAGAATAATTACACTCATTCTTAAGATAACCTGTCACTGTTCTGTGGTTTTGGTTGTTTAAGCAGCAAAAGCAACTTAAATTGCATTGACAATTCACTTCTAAATGAAGGGGTTGCATTTTTATCTGTGTGGAACTAAATAACAGTCAATGAGGAAACACTATGACAAATTTCATTTACCAAAAAAAAGTCCATCATCAAGCATCTGTGGGACAGCACACAGTCTTTGAAACATAAACTGAGAGATGGGATTCTGGAAATTGCAGTCCACCACCTACATGTGAGACAGGAAACACAGTAGTCATGCTGAGACAAAAGAGCGAGAATGGCAGCACTTTTTTCTGTAAGCAACCAAATTTCAGTCATTTCCAGAGAGTTTGCCCCCATGGTGTGTGCAACAGGGAGTTTTGTGCTTTTATGCTAAAATTTTGTAAGTGCAGCTGTCAGATGTTTCAAGCAAAATAAATCTCATTTTTGCAACAAACCCTTTCAAAGGTGTGTACACAAATCCTGGGCATTAGCTCTTACATTCCTGTCTGAATGTAGAAAACAACCTTGTATGGCCCATTTGAAGATGGCAGAGCGACTGAAGGAGCACTCTGTGGCTGACGTCTGACTCTTAGGCTTTCTTCACCAGGGACCCAATCAGCCAACCACAAGCACTCCTTCTCTGAGTGCATGCTGTTTGTGTGTTTGTGCGTTTGGGAGTGTTGAGCAAGATTGGATCTCTAGCACAAAAAGCAGACTTACACATTGCTGAAGGCCTCTAGTGGCGACTTCTCTGTCTCAGCTTCACCCCGTATCATTAGCTACTGCACATAAGGCGGGTGAGGGGTGCTGCTGGGTGGGGTTGCAGGGTCAGCTAGGTATCTTGGGGGCTGGATGCTGTTCAAGCATAAGAGCAGTTAGTTAGACGGCAAGCTGATGGTGTGCATTCAAAGCACTGTAGAAAGCATTTACAGTAATGGTAAAAAAAAGTAATTCTATACTTTATTAAAATATCTATAACAAGGTTTCTCAAATTTGTACCATGTACCACCAAATTGAGAATATATGAATACTGCAATAATTCAAACCTGTTCAATCAGTTTCTTGTTAAAAAATATGTCAATATGTCTCATAAATCTCCCACAACCATGTCAGCATTTCAGGCATCTCAAAGGTTTAGGAACTCCGTATCTTCGATCTCCAGATATTAATGGACCTAAAATAAGCCACTTGCGGCTTGCAGCTCCGACGCAGCTCCGACGCTGGCCTCTTAAGTTGTAATCATGTAAGATGGTTCCTGTGTTGGTGCATTTGGAACCAGCCGACCAGTCATCAACTGTCCACCAATGTGTGTTCGGTCACTGCACCCTTGTGTGTCGCTGAATCATATTCTGGACTGCTTATTACTTGTTAATCCCCAAACCATCAGATGTCTCACATTTATATCTACCATGGCCTGCTCTCTTACCAAACATAGGTGGCCTGTGTTATGGACCATCAGCTTTGACATTTGCAGCTTAAAAAAGCCCAGTGACTTCACAGTTTTGGCAGTGGTCGTCTGGCAGCCATGATCATGACTTGTTCAAAGTCTGTTAGATCACACTTGAAGCCCATTCTCAGTGATCCGTTCACATGCAAAGCGAGTGTGGACATAGATTATAAGCACAGCAGCCTTGAAAGTACTTAGTGTGGCATTTGAGGCTGACACGCACAGTGACGAACATACATCGCTCCCTTCCAGTGTTTTTTTTTCGTCTTACCGCTAGGACTAGGCTGAAATTTTCAAATCTTACACAAAACTCTTGAAATCTATAACAAAATATTTATCAATAACACTCAAAAACTCAACTGTGTTGGTGTGGTTTGATCAGACTTTATTGACAAACAACTTGCTGTCATACAGTTCTGTTGAAAATATTGGTGCATGGACGTACATGACCTTCTCTTAATGGCCATGGCCCACTCACCTCAAACCTGTGAGAAACAGATAAAACAACAAAAAAGTCCATCATCAAGATAAAACAAAAAACAAAAACCGAAGTCTCTCTTGTGAAATAACTCATGCTGTTCTTGATTCTTTCTGTGCATGTGGGACTTCATTTATCTAAGTAAAAATCTGATTGCAAAAATATGTTTTCAGGGCCTTTGACAACTGACACAATGACAACTGACAAAAAGAGAATGCAACACAAAAATATCCAGTTACCTAAAAATACTACTTCAATAAAAATATATTTCAGTCAACAATAAACAAATAAAAGAAGAGAAAGAAAGAAGAAGAGCAATGATAGTGAATAAGCTCAAAGAGGGGACGGGGAGTTGCAGTTTTGTGCTCATTAAACTTGAACTTGACGTTCAATAAACTGTAAAATCACTACAGGCTGGCAACTCCACTCGTCTCTGTTTTGATTACATGTTTACAGCGAGCATTTGGCTGCATTTACCTCAGTATTCTAGTGAGACATCGGCGGTATCAGCGCCATCTCCACCCTCCACCTGCTCCGCTCTGAGCTTCTGCTGGACCTGCTGCTCCAACACGCTTACCAACCTCGCTCTCTTCTTCTTCCTTTCATTTTTTTGGACTGCGCTATGTATTTTTATGAGCTAAATTCTCTTATGTCACTGCCACTCATTTTTATTTTCCTTTGAAGATTGCTCAATAAATCTTTTTTTGTATTAATATTATTAATAGGCTTACAGATTGTTCTACTGAGTAAAAGGCAGTTTTTCTCAGTTGGAGGTAAACTGCTGCTATGTTTTGGAATTTATGCAGCATCACATTTGTTTTTGTACAAATCTGATCATTGACCTCCACCTAGTGAGCTCTCCTGGTTATACAGTGTAATCCACAAATGTCACTGAAACTCAGCAGAGAACTGTAAAATGTACATTTTCACTGCTTTAAGTATTGTAGTACAACTGATCCTTTAAGCTTAACACTGAGTTGACCACAGGGCTCCATAGAGTCCAGAACATAGCCAGGCTACTTTTCAGCTGTCCTCAGTGGAAAAGGCCAAGCGGTAGTGTCCAGGTGGGGGGGCTGGACCAAACATCTGGAGAGGTGGAGGCGAGGGAGGTGGAGAGAATATAGGGATAGAGGTGTTGGAGGGCGACTCAGCAGGGAGATGAGAGCTCCTCCGGCTCCCTGCCGAGGTTGAGTAGGCCGTGACATTTCCAATTTGCTCAAATTGATCGCCAGCCAGACCCTCTCTTCCCTGCCCTCCCCGTCTGTGGTGAAGCCCATGCCCAGACTGTGGCGTGTTATGATGAATGGGCTAAATGTCAAGGACTTGAAACCCAGCTCAGATCCTCCATACCACGCTCCATTTAGTATTCTGCCTCTCTGGCCGTGAGAGAAATTCGCCCCTGAGCCCAGGAATGTTGGTTTGTGGCCGCTTATGACAAATGGTCCAAATAATGTATGTTCTGTATACTGTATATTTTCCCTTATTGCAGAGAACTTTGTTGTTTTGAATAGCTGAAGGCTTTTTCATGTTTAGAGCTGTGAGTCACAAAGCCATCAGACATGGCATAGCACCATCTTGAAATCCTGGGAGTTTGATGCTCTTTGAGACTGTGCTGCTGAGGTGAGTCACAGTCGAGTTGTGGCACGGCAGCGCTGAAGGCCAGAATCAGTCGATAAGGAGTTTCGCCTACACACTGATGAGAACAGTGGCACAGGCTCAAAGAAACTCCTCTGTAGTTAGCTAGCGGGGGGATACCTGAGACAAGGTCACACTTAATTACTGAAGCGCACATCAAAGTTTGCCTTTGGAGCCCGTGTCGCATTTGTTTATAGGATTAAGTCTCTAGCAAAGCACACCAAGCAAGTCTGTTTTAAGCCTGACCTTCTGAGAAGCAATGGAGTCATCCTTTCATTAGCAAGGAGGGTGGTACTGCACCTCAATCCCGCTCTCTCTTGTCCTCACTACATAATTGAAATATTTCCGGGAGCTATTTCTCACTTTTCACCAGACTCACATCCTTCTCTTCTCAGATCTTTTTAAATTTCACAAGTGTCTGCCACAGGTATTTCTTTAAAAAAAAAAATAGTACTCCAAAGAATATACAGCATATTCCTTTGCTCAGGATGTGATGACACTGACATAACCACCTACATCACAATGAGTTCAAAGAAAATGTAAGTCGGCCAGCTCAGCAAGAGTCCTCCTACATCCTAAACACTTCAACGGGAGATGAAACCTGCAGGTCATGTTCCGTACAAGAGCTCATCTCTCACTGGAGATTGTGCTGTCGTTGGGGAAAGTGTATACCGCGCTGATGAGAGAATATGAACAGGGACGTACAGTATAGCTTCTCCCTTGTTTCCTCACAGACATGTTTATTTTTTTATCTTTTTTTTTAGGGAGCTGTACAGTAATGAGGCACCTCGCTGAGGCAAAGATGCTTCAAAAAAACGAGTTTGCAGTCGTAGTCTCTGCTGTTGTTGCTTGCCTGTTGTGTCAACGCAAAGGTGCTGTTTTCCATACATGTGAAATTCACTTGACTTCAGAGCAGTGGTCCTGCTGGGCTTCGCTATGGTGTCAATGCTAACCTGATTTGGGTCTTTGGATGCTGGCCCACTGCTGAAGGATACAGCTCTCTCTGTGTCTCTCTCTCGCTCTCTCTCTCTGTCTTACTGCATGGCAAAGAAAGAAACTAACACAATCGGTGTGTTTGGAGAGGAAGGGTAAAGTGGTTGCGCTTGGTGTCATCATCTGACAGTTTTATATCAAAGCCCAGGGACAGACAAGAGGTCCCACTGAGGGGAGTCTTCAATTCAGACCTGGTATATAGTCTATTCTGTCTCAATAACAGCTAGTATTTCTATGTTATTGTAAGGGTTATATATGAATTCAGTTGAAATGGATCTGCCATATGGCATTTTCAAATGTAGAGCTGGTTTCAGCGATCACATCTAGTGGTTTCTCGTGTGCAGAAATCCAGATCAAGAAAGAAGCCAGACTGGGGCACCCTGGTAGCTCACCTGGTAGCACTGGCACCCCGTGTACCAAGGCTGAGTCCCTGCTGCAGCGGCCATGGGTTTGAGTCTGACCTGTTGCCCTTTCCTGTGTGTCTTCCCTCACTATCCTCCCTTTTCTGTCTATCTTAACCTGCCCTTTAGGCAAACTACCGAACTGAGCAGAAATAGTTTGAAATTAATGATAAATTAGGAGGAACTGTTCTCCACAGGAAAAGTATTTACATTCACCAGAAATTCTCATCACACATTGCCCATTAGTGATAATTAATTTGGATTAATATGGGCTAGAGAATAATTTATCATCGCTTGCAGAACCCCAGCTTAATAAATGTATCAATTCATATGACCCGAGTTTAACCTTTGCTACTGCTTGGCTCTACTTCGAATGCAGAGGAATACATAAATTTGAAATGCAGGAGACAGAGATGAATAATAAGCTTAAAAGTCTACATCCAGTTTCACTTGCACTTTACACTGGAATTCCCAATGGAGCCCCCTAGTATGGTAGTAGTATATCAAATATAGGAGTGGATTTTCTACAAATAAGATTCATTGTTGCAGTTATAAACTTTTACAGTAGCTATAAGTACTCTAGATGTAAGATCTTTAATGGATATGGTAAATAATCTGTACTTGTATAGCGCCTTTGTAGTTCCAGCCACTCTAAGCGCTTTAACCTACATGCCACATTCACCCTTGCTCAAGGTAACTTTAACTTGCAGCAGGGATCGACCCACTCTCTACCTCCTGAAAGTCTTCATTGAGGCCCCATATTGTTATGAACCTTGATATGAGTTAGATAATGACAGAGAGAAAAGAAAGCACACAGGAGAGGCCGTGGGCATGCATTAAAAGTAAACAGAAACCTTATTCTGTCTGTATTTCATTGTGGTAACTTACTAAATGATTATAAAGGAGATAGACCAGTGCACTGCTGAATGCTAAAAGGTTGTGATGACAAACTGGTTACCTTGTGTACTAATGACCTACTTTAAGTTAAATACTGTAGTTGAGGGAAAATGCAGACAGACAAACCAAGTAAATAGCCTAAAATGTAGTACCATGTAAAATTATCTAATTATAATTCAGCTATTTTGCTATTTTATATTGTTTTCACACAACCCAGTGGTACATATTCCGTGGGCCTGCTATGGCTCCACTGGAGGTTGGAAAGCACAAGATTTTTATACATTTATTGTAATGTATCATGTTTGTGTGTGTGCATGCTGACCTCTATGTGTAACTGTCTCTCTGTCCCTCATACAGGATCACTAAACGCCTTCCTCAAGCAGAAGGGCCAAACGACCTCCGAGGGCCCCGTGTGGTCGCTAAGTGGTAACCAAGGTGACCGCTGGAAGCAGGCCAAAGTAAGCATCCATCCAACGGCGTCCTTCCAGGTGAGACCAAAAAACTTAATCAATCCAATACACAGCAGCATTCCCCTTGTTGCCCTCTATTTTCTTCTCCAACTGTGTTTGTATGGCAAAGTATTAGTTTCCTTGGAGGCTGCATATTGATGTAGCACTTCACAAGCCTCGATATTAAGCAGAGAAGTGGACGGGATCCATAGACAGTGTTTGTTGTTGAGAAAGCAATATCACTCACACTTTGCCATCAGGAAGCCTAATCTTTGTGAGTCGCGAATATAGAACTGCAATATTCTCCATCATTTTTACTGCAGCAGTTGCGGAAAGTAATTATAGTTTCAGCTGCACTTGTGTGGGCTTTTTTTTGTTCCCACTCTCACTTCTAACCGTTCTAACACCACAAGCATTCTCCATTGTTTAAATTTTGTGCCATTGCCACCTGCTGCACCAGCAATTTTAAAAGTGTAAAATTACACTGTTTGTGCCCTTTTATATTTTATCTTACATTTGTGCTAATTTTCTTGTTTTTGTGCTCTATCAAGGCAGAACATTTAATAAGACAAAGTAGTTTATTTCTCTGTAGGTGGTGCTCGAAGGTATCCGGGGACCAGGCATCGAGGGAGACATCGCCATTGATGATGTCATGCTAGAGGAAGGGGAGTGTCGAGACCCACCACCCAGTGAGTAGCAACACATTTCCACCTCCTCCATCCCCTCTCGTTTCCCTCTTATCTGAGCTCTGGGGTCTCGCTCTACCTCGCCGGACAGGGTTGAGATTTACGAGAGGGGATCTAATCTGAGACACTTGCCAGCACTGAGCTACCATCTCATGGGGAGAACACGGTTGCCATAGCAACAGTGTTGTAATCACATGAATGATAGCCACGGTGCCTGAGTGGAACACTGTAATTGCGCTGCAGGAACAAACAGAAGGTAAAAGCAGAAAACAGGACACAGAAAATGGCCTCCAATTGACAAGGTGACATTGGTAGGCAGACAAACGCTGTTCCTTTGATTGAAATCCTGCTATTTATGGTTGGAGGAATATTGTTTCCACAAGCTTCTCAATCTTAGACCTCCATTTAAGATTCCATAGATAAATCATTTTCATTTTCACGTCATCTGAAATGTGTGGTATTTATTGCTGCAAAATTTGTATTCATTTAGATTAATCATGATTAAAAGCAACATCATTAATGCATTTTTATGTTATAGGAGTGGTTGTCCAGAGTGATGTTAAGAATTATGCAATTCAATCCAACATGATAAATCTTACATGAGTTTGTGTTTATGTAAGAGAAAATTAATTATCAAATAGTTTCTGGAAATACATGTTTGGGAATACATTTATTCAATACCACTCTTATGTCTCTGTAAAGTATGAAACTGGAGCCAGGACATACTTAGCTTAGCTTATGGACTGAAAGTACAGGGAAACAGCTAGTGTAAAAAAAGACTATTTGTGGTTTTATGGGGTTTATTTGCTATTTCTTGGCTTGGAGCAGTAACTTTCTGAAGTCCAGGAAGTCACTGTGTCCAGCAAGGAAATAATCCAACACAAAACCGAGGTGTAAAATCACAACTTAAACAACATTTTTACACTTGAGTTTTTGTTTCTGTAGACAAAGCCAGGCTAGATACATACATGAGAGTGGTATCGATCGATATCGAAAGTATATTTCCTAAAATGGCTAGTATTTCTTCTGTCTGGGGATCTGTGTTTTGTTCATTGGAGTATATAAAATTCATAGCTACCATTATTTTCTGTTTCTTTTACTTCCTATGTAGATCTCAGCAAGGCTCCTTCCACATCCTCCCATATATGGCTGCTATGCGTCACCTTGGTGATGACCCTCCTGGAAGGTCAGAGGTGACCCTTCTCGCTGTCATCTCAGAGGCGAATATTCAGACCCACCGTCTGTGAACTATACCCTCGGCATCCAATCACCAAAGATTCATGCATCCTGAAAGCAGCAGGGGACCCCTGACAGACAACGGAGGGACTGAAATTCATGAAAGAGAGAAAAAATAGTGATAAAAAAGTTACACAAAAAGTAATAAAGAAGATGCGCTAATTTTTTAAAGAGACCTCTTTTACAGAAAACACCCCTCGGTGCAGGACTCGGGACATCTTTACGAGCACAAAGACAGGTGGGCGATGAATAAGCCTGGACTTTGGCGAAAGAGTTCACAAGCGTCGAGGGAGGACAGTTTGTAAAGCACAAGAACAATTTTATGAAGTTATGAAAATATCTTTGAAAGGCGGCAGAATATAGACACTGCTGACTTTTTGAAGAAGAAATAACATTTCCCTGCTTACAAATACATGGAATCAGACCTTTCTCTGTGTATCTTAATCTTCATCTTCTTGCACCAGATGCCAATCACCGACACTTGTTTTTCACTCTAGCCCAGCTTCACATCACATCTTGGCATTTCTTTATCTGCTTGGTGCTGTACTGTAGAAAAACAAGGACTTTGGCAACATTTAGTTCTGTCTGCTTACTCCCCTGTAGCTGCCTATGTATCTTTTTAACACTGTGCTCACGAGTCCAAGTGGCCAACCGACGGTATGGTGGCAGGAAAAAAAATGCAGAAGAATCAGCGGAGGTGTAGACAGCTGGACTGGAGGGCAGAAAGAAGTTGGAGCTTTGGAGCTGAAATGAGAGGGAGAGGTGGAAAGAGAGCAGAGAGGAGGTATGTTGAGGGGAGGAAGAGTTGAGGGAGAGGAGGAACAGGCAGAGAGTAGAGGAGGGTCCGATAAGTGAGGCCTGACTCGAATATTCAGTCAGCGGTCCACCTGTGGAACAGAAGCCACTTTACTTTCTGCCATGAAACAAAGTGCCTTCAGATTACAAACCGAATCGTGAGCCTGGGTGTTAATCAACATCGGACACATCTCTGTTCATGTTTCCTCTGATGGGCTATTTTCTACATGTTTCTTTTGCCCCACAAGTGCTGATGGGAGGGCATGTGTGTTCAGAGGGAGTATAGGATTGTGCCCGGATTCAACTCCTGATGGGACAGTTGTCTGTGTGTGTGTGTGTGTGTGTGTGTGTGTGTATGCAAGTGCGTGTGTTTGTGTGTGTGCATGCGCCTAAGCCTATGCCTATGCCTACGCGTAGTTCAATGTGAGGGCAGCAGACCAGGCTGTGCTGGCAGACCAGGTTGGCAAACAATTTGGATAAAAACAGCAGCAACAGTGAAAGTGAGGCTCTGGATCTTTTTTTTTTGTGCAGAAAGACAGTTTAAGATCATACGGAAGGATAAAGACATTTCGTCGAATGAATACCCCACTCTCTCTTCCCATGATTCTCCTTCCCTGCGGGCGAGCATTTTTTAACAAAAGAAAAGAACAACTGCTGAATAAAACACTGCGTTGTACAGGGAGGAGAGCAGGAACTTTGGGACTGCAGGCTCTTCATTAGGGTGATACGCCTCGCCCCTATCCTCCAACATTTATATGGAACAATGAGAATAAAAGATAATAATGACCATAATAATAGTCATGATATTTTATTACTCTAGCGAGAATGTTTCTCTGCTTTTACACAAACTGTGAAGATTGACTGTGGAAGATCTACCTGAGACCATAACCTTAACCAGCGGGGTTTTTAAAAAATGTATTGTAAAAAAGAGAAAATAAGAAAATGAAAAATTCCGTTCATTGTTGGTTATGACAAATGTTTTGAGGACTTGTGTCTTGTTTCTTATTTTTTCTGTTGAAGATGACTTAACTTCCTTTCTCTTCTTGTTGTCTCCCTTTGCATTGCTTAAGTATCAAAGCTGATGGAAGCATAAGAAGTAAACCAATTTGGTAACTGTATAACTTGTAAATGTTAAAGAAGCTCTATTCAAAGGTTTATGATAAATGTTTTATGTTGGAGTACAGGAAGCACAACATACAGTTTAAGGTCTCAACATATAAAATCCATTTTATATTTCTCTGCACATACGTGACCTACTCCCACAGGCTTTTCAACACTCTGAAACAAGTCCACGTTTAACAGCAAATTGATCATTTTTTACTTGTGACATTCATATTTATAGGGCAACCAGAACACGAGAGAAAGCAAAGGAAACCCAGTCAGGAGTATAAATAAAACCTTAATGAATGCAGACTGGGTAAAGGTTCAGTTTGGTGTTGTGGTTGTTCAGCATATGTAGCCTCTTCAGTGGAAGCCTGGGTGGTCTGAGTGGGTTATGTACATGTGTAAACATGAAGCTGTGTACAATAGGTGTGATAAGAAACTGATACATTTATAGATGATAAATATGCTAAACAAAACAGAGCAGAATGATGAGCATTTCAGGGCATCCTTACAATATCATTATGGTCTGTATGATGTTATAGACACATAATCACAGCTATTATCTGCTATCCATTTCTGTAGATTTTTTTTTCTCCTTTCATTTGTGTGTTTTTATTACCATAAGGCCCAGATCACAATGAATGTAAATGGAGTTCTGGGAGGAGTTCTTTTCTTACAGTCTTACTAGATGTAATGTTTTACTAAAACATGTGTTTTTTGTGTGCTTTTGATGATGAGAACTTTCAGACTTTCATAGGTTGTTTTGGACACATCAAGAACATGACGTTCGCCTGACTTTGACACAGACTTTGACACAATTTCCAAAAATATAAGCTCAGATAAAATATCCATTAGCTAGTCGCTATATCCTCCTGTGGTATAGTAGGTAATGAAAAGTGCCAAAGTGCCCCGTGTCATCACTGTTACTAAGTATGGATATGAGTTCCTTAAGATATTTTGGTAATTGTTCCTTTTACACCCTGAGCACTTGGTCAGTTCATAACAAGAATACAAAATCCTTATGTAATAGAGACCTGGAAGTACATGAATGATTAAAAGTTACAGCTGGATTTAAATGAAAGAATGCCTTTGGTATCACTTTGGTGTTGAGGTCAATACATTTAAAGTAATAGTTTGCCATTTTTTGGGAATGAGTTTATTTGCTTTATTTCTGGAAGCTCCTTAGCTTAGCTTAGCATGAAGACTGAAAAGAGGGAGAAACAGCTAGCTTGGCTCGATCTGAAGGTAACAAAATCCAACTAGCAGCATCTCTAAAGCTCACTACTTAACATCTTGTGTTTTGCTTGTTTAATTCATGCAAAACTCGAAGTGTAAAAAACAACTTGTTATGGTTTAATGAGGGGTTGTCTCCATGAGCTTGCCAGGCACCAGCAGAGACTTAAGGAGGTCACTGCTTTCAGCCAAGAAATAGTCTGGCACATAATGAAACCGCAATTAGTCATTTTTGCTCTTCGGTTTACGTGCGGATTAAACAAACAACACATAATGTGTTCATTGGTGAGGTTTAGAGGTGCTAGTAAGAAGATTTTGTTAGCTAAGCTAAGCTAACTGGCTCCCGGCTGTCTGTTTATATTTACCATACAGACATTATGGTATCAATCTTCTCATCTAACTCTCCTCTAAAGTCGGCATACTGTGAAATGTGTTTTGTGCATGCTGGAATTATATCGGTGTCAGCCTTTCAGAAACTATGCAGACCTGCTTTTGTGGTGTATTTTAATAATTCTGGGTACATTCATACATATCTGCACAATTTTTATCCATGTGAAGCAAATATTGTCTGATTTTCCAATAGTCACGGCTGAAATTGGACATAAAAATGAATCATTGTTTGTTTCCATGGTATTACAGCTCCCACCATATCCTTGATTTCAATTTCTGTGCAATTCACACACCCTGTGTCAGCCTCTGCCCTTTGTGTACGCAGGGGATGTGAGCCTGGTGACTATCTTACACACTCAGCTCTGCTCTATTTATTGATAAAAGTCCTCTAAGCTACTTCAAAGTACAATTGGAGGGGATTAACAGTTTTTGAATATGTAAACAATGTTGTGTGACAGTTTTCTTTCTTACGGTGTTTTCTGACTTTATTTTGATGATTAGAGGCTTCTGTAGTCGCGGAGGGTGTGAAGTGTTCATAAACTAACAAGGGGAAATGGGTTTAGGTATTTGTCTCTGCTGATTAGTTTGTGGTGCTGGAGATGAATGTGACCATGTGTGCCTGGGGCCAAGACATTTTGCGTGTGTTGTTTTTTTTCCCACCAGCACACACAGTGTCAGATGTTTCTCACAGCAGCCACTTTATTTTGACACTCATGCAAGACTTTGCCGTGTGAGTGGTGATAGTGCCATCAATTTTAATAGAGGGTTACAAAAATAAAATGACAGTAGCTTTTTTTTTTCACTTTTCTTCGTGGTAGACCTTTCTTGGAATCTATTAAGCTCAGTCCTTGAAAACACTGTCATGATAACATAAAATTTAAAGGTCTCTATTTATTTTATTTATTATTTTGTCTGCAAGAATTGTACTGTAATCTACTGCAACTGTCCAGTAATGAATACTACACTCTTAAATAGAGCAAAGCGCTAGGCAGAGCACTGAAGTCACACTTGCATCACTTGATGGGCATCAGCTGTTTTCGTTCATGCTTCACAATCACTAGCTGAATCTACGGCTGTGTGGCTGTCAGCTGACTAGCAACGTCCAATTATATTCATGCAGGTGTCCTCCTACAGCTTGGCCGTTACTGTATAGCCTGATACTTCTCACTATTACTCTTGTGCCATTGTTGTTTGCTACAACAGCTCCCTCCACCACCTAAAGCTCCTCCGTATGTGCCATATTTTGTTTTATATAACAGTCTTAACATTCATGTATGTTGCTGCTCATATTGTTTGAGAGTTCTGTCAAACAGTAGAGCATTTTCCACCAAAAATATCTGTATAACCATTTGCCATATAGCTTAAGTTCCTTGACTAAAGTGTCTGACTGACATGCAGTTATTTGTTGTTGACGCACGCGATTATTTGAAGTTGATGGTAGTCATTTTTGAAGACTTGACTTTGTGATGGTGTTGTGTCCATGCAGTTAGTGTAAATTAGATGGAATTTATGCAGTCAAATAAAATGACTAGAAAGGACAGCCTGAAAATGCACCATAGAATTCAGTCCATACAACAACAACAGAAAAAAAGCTAAAGAACTAAAGCTTGCAGTTTCAACAAATATTATATTTAAGGTGTTTGTGCCAGTTGTATTGCATTGCATTACATCGTACTGGTCACCCTAGAAATGACCTTTTTCCTTTGTTACACTGCAGAAAACAAACAACACTAGTCGATCTTTATTGCACAGAAAAGGGAATAGCCATTTGGTAGGTGGGAGGAGGAAAGCCGGCTGCAGTGATAGTGTTTTCCTTTTAGAATGCAGTTTCACCTTCTTTACTGATAAAATTACACATTTGACTTGCTACCTTTGTGTAACATAAATGCTACGTGTTGGTCTTAATTGAACCGCAAAGGAAATAACCTATTGTCAAATATGGTAAGGTTCTGGAGTACCATGGAAACAAACAAGGACTTGTTTTCAGCGCTGTTTCATCCTGTATTATTTATAAAAATCTGTTGGGGTTTTTTTGTGCATTGATGAATACACAAATACATAATGCAGTTGTGCATGAATGTACCCAGTGCTCAGATTAATACCATTAAAATGGAGGTACTGTAGCATTAAAGGACGTGGTCTGTCAGAGTTTGTGCAGGCTGCAGATTGAACATAATTGCTGTACAGTGCATTATGTTGAAACAATTTCCCAAGTTCTTTGCTAAATTTGATTAAACCTATCCATGTGAGTAGAACCATGACCAGTTGCTATGTGAGAAAATTTAATTTAAAACAAAGTATTGCCTTAATTTCTAGAAAGTGCATACCTCGTAATATTATAAACAAGTAGAAGAGATCCTGCTAAACAATTCCCAACTGTAATATTTCTTGGAGGTGTTTTTAAAGAAATTCAGCTGTAATTTTCACATTTTTACCAACTTAGTTACAGCTATAATTTAGTATCCTCACTATGTATTTAAATGCGTAATACCTAGTGCTTCGAGGGTCTCTAAAAGGAATGGTCCCAACAATTCTTTCTGAGTGGAAATGTTCTCATTTTCTGTTCAACCTGAGAAGGGCTTTGTCACATTGTGCCATTCATTGCGCTATTTTAGCTCCCCGAATAACCATTCACTTTCACTAGCATGATATAAATGCAGCTGGTTGCCCTATTATCACTATACACACCCTGCTACTTGGTATTGATTCAGCAAAGAGAATTGGTGCCAAAAGTGGGGGAGGCATTGTGGTTAGGCACGACCAGCACCGACAGAATTGGCAGTCACTGTGAATTTGGCACTTAGAAAAATGTTCGTATGAAGCAGTCAAGCAGGAACAAAATGTCTGTCAAATTGAAGCTGAAACATTACCTGTGTGTTGAATGTTTTTCAAGAGTAAAATTGCCATCTTAATGCAGTAAGTTTCTTTCACTTTCACACAGTGGCTAGGCAGTACTGAGTGACTTCTCGACAGGAAGCTGACTGCAGTCTCACTAAATAACTGGAAGAGGTAGACACATTTCAGAGATCTCATTTTACTCTGTCAGGAAAGAAGCAGGATGTCGTTATTTGATGGCATGGCTGCTCAGTGTGACAACTTTACCGGTGGGAAAACTGCCACCTCTTGGTACCTTACTGTCTCTGGTGTTGGAGTGAATCTCGCTACTCTACGTCTCGATGGCTTTCCTCTTTTCTCTGTCCTCTCTTTCTCCTTCACCTGCTCTGATCATGAATCGCAGGCCCGCAGCAGCAACACAAATTCCCGCACAGACTCCATTTTTACCAGTTATTTACCATCAGTGCGGCTGACTGCGTGCAGAATGACAAGAAAAGACCCCTGGAAATAATGAGATGTGATGCTGTAATATCAAGGTTGTTGAGAAAGCTGTGTTTCAGTGATGTTATTTATCTTGTTCTGTGCCGACACCCTGTAATGATGACCTGTCACTCTTCTCTGTTATGTGCTCTATATTTATATATGATCAGGCTTCTTTTTCACTGTATTTCTTTGGATTTATCACCCATTTTTTGTGCCATACCTGCAACTAATGAAAAAATAAAGAAAAGGAATATTTTACGTGCTGTGTGAAATACATTTTCAATTATGCAGTATGAAACTAAAACAGAATAAAGTAGAACAAAACAGGATAGAATAGAATACGTTCCATATTATATGCTTAGTGCTTAAACACAAATCCTCTTGTTTCTGTAGCTTGCCTGTACTTGTCACCTTTGTCCCCATAGTTTTCAAAGGGAAAGCCAAGTTATTCCCACAGTGACCACCTGTCTCCCACTCAAAGGGCTGGAAACAAAAGCTTTTGTGTTGTGCAAATTGTTCTTTTGACAGTACTCCCCAGTTTGTGGTTCTTCTGAGGAGCTAGCATGCTTGCTTTCCTCTCAGAGTTGAGAGCATTTGAGTGATTGCTCGAGAAAAGGACATCTGAGGGAAAGACAGAGGAATAACAATGGTGTGCGGAGGGACTTGAAAGTCATCCAAAGGTTAGCCAGCAGGGGCCCGACTGAGGAAAGCTTATAGAGTGGCAACCTGAGCAGAGGCTACTGTACACAGCCTGAAATGACTTTTGTTCTTTTTTCCTAAGCAGTCCACCTCTTTGATATGCTAAACATACAGAAAACTAACTTTTTTTCTTTTCTAAATAACCACAAGGTCAGAAAAATGGTATGATGTGGACTTACTTACCAGTAATAATGCTATGAAGCAATGGTTTTAGCTGTGAATTCCCATTTTTGTTGTTTTCATGCACTTGCACGAGGAAGCACATGTGAAGGGAAGTTAAATGTTATCTAGCAACAGCTAGCTGGCAAGCGACTTGGGAAATAATGTTTGACGCTGACATAAGCGTATTGTAACTGATCAGGTAACTTTATGGTGTCTTTTTAGTTGTCATATCCTTGTTATGAGATGCATGTGCATGTGGGTG